TCCTGCCGTTGGAGAGAAGTTTTGCAAAAACGAGTCCCCTCTCCCACCTCCCCTTTTCCTATCCTATCTACCATCCTCCTAGGCTTTCCCATTTTCCGAAGTACTTTTTTGGAGTAGAGTTTTTTCTTCGAAAATCCTCGTCTTTCCAAAAAAAAACTGCTGTCGAGCGTCAGGGGGCGGGGGTAAAGCGCACATGGAACAGGAAAAACCGATAAAAGCCAACAACCCGGCAACGTTCTGAGGGAAATAAGACCCCTCCAGGATCCCCATGTACGACATGACCTGCACTAAAACTCCTGCCCCACTATTAGATAAGGGTTGTGCCCTACCTCTGTGGTGCCTCTGGACATTTTGTTATTGGAATTTTCTGTAGTTCAGGAATAGGCGTTTGCTCGCCTTCCGTGGGCCACCTGCACAATGAGCTGAGCTAGCTCTGTGCTTCCGATCCCCTCTCCCTGGGTATTTCGCAAATTCTCGATTTTTTAGAACTCAATCAGTAATTATCCATTTTGCACGATTTCTTTATTTCTAGGACAGTTACTGCAATCGTTAAGCGTCTGAATTTAATAGCCATTTTATTCCAAGGCGTTTCTTCTCGATTATGTTGATTGTAATTCTTTCTTGTTAGGTCCTCATAAATGGCAGGGTACATCTTGGGAAAGTTGAGGACTTAACCTCCCCTACCCCATCACAAATACCCTAAACGATGACTGGGAGACGGGTAGTGGTCATCATCTCACAATCATTCATCAAACTTACTAAAATTCCTGCGCTGCCAGTCAGAGTGAAGGAGAAAGTATCGCACAGTATCGGAGGGCAGCTGGAACCGTGGCTGTGTACTCCATGTCGACTCTCTTCTCGAGCATGTGTCTCTGCCCCACAATCGTCTGCCCTTGCCGCAGTCGCGCCTCTTGTTCCCCTCAGATATGGGCTGCGTGAAGCACGCCCGATCCGGGGAAAAATTAGCTATTGAAGAGAACTCTCCCCAAAACAACTATGGCACCTGTCCTCAGCAGCTAAAGGTGATGTTCCCTGATGAATGAGCAAGTATCCTGTCTTGACGTTTTCTGCGCATAGTTCATTAGTAATAAGGCTGTTAATTCCTCATTTTGCAAAATTTAGATTAATGGGCAATATACAGCATGGGCGGAGCACTCGCACACACACAGCCACCCCAAGACAAATATCAAATCGTCTGCCGTCCGGACCAACCAACCCTGCATCTCTGTGGCGGTCAGTTTCCCCAGGAACGTAGGAGTTGGTTGGCCGGATTCATCTGCAAGTAGAAAGCGTGACTTATTTTCCTGCTTGCCCGAAACTCACTATACAGGCCGAGTCGTTTTCAAATAGCCACCACGATCCTGAATGGAATTAGAATGCGTGGCGCATCTCGAAAGGGATTAATCGATACTGGAGCACTCTACCCTTGAACTTTATGCAGTGCCCTTTTCGGGGTTTGAGACCAGATTGACGGTACAGTACTTTTTGGGCATTAGTGGTTCATTTAGAGAAAATGAATAGAAGTTTCGCAACTAATGAGCTAGGCTTTATTTGCAAGTATTGCTCTGAATAGGATTAATCTAGCTAACTCAGTAGCTGAGTGTCTGTTTATTCGAAGAGCCCTGAAGAATTCGATTTACTTTCGGTTGCATGACAAACAACCGTTCTGTTGTCAAAACAGCGCATCCAAAGCAGTACGTAAAGGAATTGAAGTGGCTTGTGTATCTGATTTGAACTACTTATTTACCTATAAAGGTGGGTAATTTGAGCCAATTTCTCACTAGCTCCCCTTGTATAATGCTATTCGACCAGGGCACGCCATCGCGTTGTGATCATTTTCTGAAGAATTACGACCCCCCCCCTAATTCCATACTAAAATACGAGCCCCCTTTTTGGGAGTTGGTACGACGTCCTTCCTCATCGAACCGAGCCGTCGGAGCAGAATTAAACTATCATTTTCAAGTGTCGGAAATAGTAGTGCGTCCATGAACTGACCAAATACGACCCCCTCCCAAAAATGACCAAGTACGACCCCCCCTTTACAGCGTCCGTGAAACAAGAGAAATCAACTGTCAAAAAGTTTCCCCTGATACGACACCCCCTCCCTCGCGGTCAAATACGACCCCTCCCCTTGTGATGATCACAACGATGGCGTGCCCTGTATTCGACACTATGTCATGTCATACAATTTTTTTCTCGTGTGTTTTCGGGGTTTTAAGCTGTGCTTTCGCCAGTGTTTACTCTGGGCTGTTCGTAAGCACAAACGTAAGGTCAGCTGCAGTGGTGGTGGGGCGGCGGCCGTGGTGACAGCGTTGGCGGTGGCGATTGTTCGACTTATAGTGCAGATGTTCGTCCGCTATTTAACTATGCAAATTGCAGAACACATTTGTCACACCGCTTGTCGCGCGTGGTTGCTATGCTGCGTGTGACGAGTTCGTGAATTCGTAACGAGTTACCTATTGTTTTTGGTGAAAGTACATGAGTCGAGCCACTTCAGAGTACGTTTTGTTGCACACGCTTTTCAATGAGGAGAATTGCGTGAGTGGCGTAGCATTTGAGTGAATGTAAAACGACACACACACAACGTCCCCACCCTCCCTGGGGAACGTTGCCGTCGTTGACCCTTAGATGCCCATCCGTATGCGCACATGCGCCGGCTGTCTCTAATTGCGTTTAAGTTCGACGAAAGACGTTTCGTGCTGTGTAGGAAGCTACAGCAGCGTTGGTTTTTGTTCGTGTTCGTTTTCTGAGCTCATCAGCTCTATCCCCGTTGTGACATCAAATTTCTGAGGAAAAGCGTCTCTCTTCTCAAATTTGAGCTGAATTAATTTAATCTGGTTGAATTTGATAGTTACAGCTTGATTTCTGCAAAGAATTATGTGACTAAAGATGTTTTATTTTATTTGAGGTCCAAAGAAATTGTCATCACAGTGTAAGCTAGAAAATAAACTTGTATGTCATCGACTGCTTATTATGCATTTTCTGGAGAGAACCAGTCAAGTTTTTTCGTATCCCTGTTGGAAGTGGTCAAAGTGGGAGGGGTGTATCCAAAGTGGGCGTGGCTGTCTGGAGCGCAGCACTTACCCATCTGGTACATAAGCTTTTTATAGTTAGCATGACATTTGGATATGTTATAGATCTAGCCGGTGATCAGAATCAAATACTAGTAACCTTTCCATAGAATCTCTGTTACCGCACAGCACGCGAAATCCATCAGAGGGTCGTATTTAGTCACTGAGGTTGGGGGGGAAAGCGACGCACGTGTACTGAGCCTAGGTAAATTTTCCTGAAATCGATTTTTCCCTTTCTTGTAGCACTGCAGAACCCTCGCATTAGTTGGCAGCGCTGCAGATCATTATCACTGATAGTTGATCAGTGTTGTCCACCCCTGTTGCTCTCCCTTCCCACTTTCCTGTTTTACGAGAAAAATGTGGGAAAATAATTTTGGCGAGTTTGTTATGCAGTTTATATAGTCTCGTCATCAGGTTGTGAATCCCACGGGCCACTACTGGACGTTAAGGGCGCGAGACTGTTCCTCGCCGATCTACGAGCCCCTCAAGCTTTGGTAGCAGCAAACTTCCATACACCCGTCTCTTTTCAACAAAAACAAAGTGCCACTGAGTGTTCTTCCGCTCCTATATATGTTGAGTCGGAGTACTGCTTACAAGAATTTGGATCTTTATTGTGTCTGCTTGGCGTCGTATTATGGGTTGTTTGTTTAGCGTGGGAGACGAAAAACCGCAGAAAGCCGAGGGCGCAAACCAGGTGCCACGCCTATGCCGCTGGGGAGAGGATTTTCGGAAGATTATTCGATCTTCTCCTCCGCTCTAGTTGCCCGCCGCCTCGCTTTCAGATGCTACCCCCCCGCTTCCTCATCGCCCCTACCCCATTTTTTATCAGATGCTTACGAAGGGTTCCCATCACTGTTCTTCTGCCTACCGATACAGTTTTTATTTCTCTGGAATAATCGACATGCTCAGCCGGTACCCCCGGCCCCGGCTAACTCGCCATCGCCTCCCGCAGTGATACCAGTCACGGAATTCTCCCCAGGCGAGCTGGGAATTCCCTCAAAGCAAACCGCATAGTCTTGGTGAGAACGATTGATATTCATGTGCAGTATGAATTCTACACGATCTTTTTCACGTCAGTAGTCTCCACTTGCTGGCTAGAACCTGGGCTGTGTGTGTGGGGCTCAGATTTTTTGTTCTCGTCTGTCGTCCGATGTATGAATGTCGAAGATTTCATTTCGTTTGGCATTGGACGCTAGTCACTTACTGCATTACCGTACGTTTGAGTATGTAACGGTTCAGCTGCCTTGCTGCTAATGTCAAGTGTCAGTCCACACTGTAATACCGAGGCGATATCTGTAGGACTCTATCTACTTTCTGGGTGATTGACGCCAGTACTGCGACTATTTTCTCACCGATTCTCTGTTCCACGCTTTCTATGAGCAGGACCGGAAGCGCACTTTCGCGACATGATTTGTGATGGGTGGAAAGGAGGTCAGTTCCTATCGGGGGAAGAGATAGGGGAATCCGGCGCTAATAACCTTTGGGGCATTGAAAGGTTTGTATAAAATTGGTATTACCACAACGGAAATGAGGGCTTTTTCTCAAGTCTAAAAGGGGAAGAGCAAGAGGGACTGACGTCAAAAGACATCACTTCCATTTGGATAACGTTATTCTCACTTTTGATCTGGACTTCTTTATTTTGTCCTCCCCACCCCTCTCCGCGCGCACCTCAAGGTTGTTAGCATAGAAGGTCCTGTTAAGAGCAATTTTTCATGGCCCACTGCTGTTGAGGGTTGTCATTACTCGCTTATTTTTGTTTTGATTCCTCGATGATTTCAATCTCATTGGTTTGTTCGTAGATCGCCGTGCCTAGTGAAGAACCCGTAACTCAGCAATTAATGGCTCATTCCAGATTGATGACCATATAAACGGAGCGTTTCAATAATAAATGCAGAAAGCCGAACGGTCAACGAGGAATGCGACGTAGAGATGAACTGGCGTAGCCGTTTATTCCTATTGCTACATTTAGTAGCACTAGATACAGTATCAATATACGCTCGACGGGACCCACAAGGACAAATTCCGTTCGTATTCACTGCCAAATTATATAATGTATCATTAGAAGAAAACGCTCCCGGTACGGAATTTGCTCGGTCATCTGATCATGTACGTATTGGCGTTCCGTTACCGCATAGTGATGCGACTGTCAAGTTCAAAATTGTCGAGGTGAGTTTGAATGAAAAAATTGTATTTTTGCAAATTCACAATTTGTCTTGACTGTACAGTTTTCTTGACGCTGGCGTGGTTCGGGGAGAGGGGGGGGGGTCGCTCTAAAGCGCCTCTGTGATCTCTCACCTGACCAAGGATTAGGCTTAATGGAGCCTATGTCTTCTATGAAAACCTCTATCTCGGCTACTCTGTTCGTCTGCGCTCTTTGGCCGAATATTGGTCAAGAAAAGGGATAGGGAGGCGCTGCTGGTACCCCTCCACCCCCCCCCTTCAAGGGGTATTTTTTCCGCATAATTCTCACTAGAGCCGCGTTCATACTTCGTGACTTGAGCGATTCAGTCGCTCGCCGGCGACTTCACTCCAATGCTGGTCGTTTGACCGTTCTACCTGCGAGTTCAATTGCATCCAGAACATTACCTCATTTGATCTTTGCAGCGGTCCAGTGATTAGCGACGGAGCGCGGATCGCTGAACTCCAAGTCGAGCGACTGAATCGCTCGAGTCGCGAAGTATGAACGCGGCCGCCATTTTCCCTCCTAATTAGAGATGCTCAACTAGTTGTGTAAGTAGTAATTTATGTTACAGGGAGATCGACAGCATCACTTTAAAGCACATTCCCGCCAAGTGGGAGATTTTGTATTTTTGCGAATACGACAAAAAGACCGAATGGATACGCCGTTGAATAGAGAGCTAAAGGTGTGATCTTTAGTTTGTTTGGTCCTTTTTTTCTTTCTTTGCCTTTTACTCTTTGTCCATTTCTTTATTTTGTATCACAG